TCTCTCTCTCTCTCTCTCTCTCTCTCTCTCACACACACACACACACATACACACACACACCTTCATTGCAGTGCAGTGAAGAGGGTACTGGCCTTGGAGTCAGAAAGACCTGAGTTCAAATCTCACCTCAGACACTTCGTAGCTATGTGACCCTGAGCAGGTTAGGCAACTTCTCTGAACCTCAGTTTCCTCATCTGCAAAATGAAGGGACTGGACTGGATGCCTCTAAGTTCCCTTCTAGCTCCAAATATAAGGTCTTATAATCTCCACAGCTCTGTTCTTAGGACTCTGACAGCTAACAGGATCCTCAGACATCTCCACACAACCAAATGATGTTCTCTGGAACCACCCTTTTGAATGATTCCATGGGTCAGCTGCCCCCTAAGTGCTCCCCACTTCCCATACAAAAGGATCACTAATTTGTAGAGAGAAATGGTGGGTTGTCTATTCCCATGGCTCCTCCAGTGCTAACATCTCTGCATTCACCCTCAAACTCTCTGGAGTCAAACCCTAGTTATGTCTCTTTGCTAAGGCTCTCAAAGCACTCAAACCTCATCTGATGAAAAGTGCTTTTCTCTGACTATAATAAAGGGACACTGATAACCAGCAAGAGCAAATTGTTTGCCCCCCAAATCATACCACTCAGGTCTACTTTAGGTCCCCTCTCCTAAATTTCCTTTAGCAGCTGATAGGGGATTTCTTCAGCCCTTGTATTCTCCACTCCCCATACATCCTCTCTTCTCCACCTAATTAGCAGAGGAGGTCTGCCATCCTATGAGGCATGTGGCAGGGAGGAATGATACCCAAGACTTGTGTCTGCATCAGTGGAGTCCCTAAGGCCCTAAGTCCTTTGCAGAAATGGAGAGGCCAAGACATCTCTTCTCATTCCAGCATCTCAGACCCTGAAATAGCTTAGGGAGCACTCTGCTGCCATCAAAAGCTGATGGTCTTTCCTTCAATGTGGAGGTCTAAGAAGGAGACACCATCCAAGATACTGGCTAAGTGTTGCATCTTTCCAGTCTCCTCACGCTGTCCTGAAAAATAACTGATCTTATCTGAAGTAAGGTCACCCCTGACCTAGGGATGTTAGGGTATGGAGAAAAAAAAGAGAAACTTAAGGCTTTTAACACTTGTTTCATCTTTGGTTTAAGGGGATCCCTCACTTTGCCCAGGAACCTAAAATGCCCAAGATTTACATCATCATGATTACCACCATGGCTTTTATCTCACTCCTTAAAGTTCAGAAAGTTTTATATATGGTATCTCATTTGATTTTTAGAAGCAGCCTGTTAAGGCAAGGAATGCACTGTTATCCTCATTGTAGATGAGGAGCCTGGGATTGAGAAGGTAAGTGATTTGCTCAATGCCATACAACTAGTTAACAGCAGAACCAACTTGAGCTGATGTCATCGACTTAGAGTCTAGTGTTCTTTCCACCTTAATGCAAGAGCAGTGGCCATGAGATCCCGAAGACACCATCTAGTCAAGATGGTGCCGTTCTAAAAAAAAAAAACCCACCTTTTCTAGGAAAACACTTCTTTTCTTCATGAAAGCTTACCCCCTTCCTTTCAGAGCAGAGACCTAAAGAAAATAAGAAAAAGGGAAACCCTCCTCCCCTGGCAGACACTATTTGCTGCCCTGAAGCTATGAGTTTGGTTTACAAATGTCAACTGTTTTCTTTCCAAACTACAAACAAATCCTCTCCCCCAACAAGGCAGAGGCAGCCCAAGCTTTCTTATAACTCTGGAGAGTTTCCAAGAGTTCTCTGTTCGATCTTTGGGGTTACCTGCTTCTCTCAGGGAGCCCTTGGAGCAGCTCATCCGTCTGCCAGAAGAAGCTGGACTCACTGAGAGACCCTTGGCTGAGCCTTGGGCTCTGCTCTGCGTAGAGGCATACATTGGGGATGAGGGAGGAAGGGAATGCATAGGGGTGGTGGCCTCCAGGTTATGTCTCTTCTCAAGGAATCTGATTTTCCAGAATACAGGAACTGAAAATGTGGAAAGGACTTTGAATCTGGTTCATTTTCAGTCTTCTTCCTCCACCTTAGAGGAAAGAAAGTTCACTCTCCCCAAATCCCCTGTATGGGAGATGAGGTATTTCTCCAGGAGGAACATGTCTTCATTGGTGCAGAAGGGAAAAATATTGGATTTGGAGTCACAGTCCCTGGGCTTGAATCTTGGCTTTGCTATCTACCCACTCTGTGATCTTGGATAAGTCTTGCCACTTCTCAGGGCCTCCTTTTCCTCACCTGTAAAATGATGGATTTAGACTAGATGATCCTTAAGGACCCTTTCTGGCTTTGAATTATGTGATCCTCCAATGGGATAGCCTCATTTCTCTAGAGATGTGCCTCAGCTGTTTCCTGCCAACAGTGATATGGGCAAGTGAAATGTCCAGAAAAACTCCTGCCCAAGTATCAGTAAACAACCCTGCCCCAAGCCTCTCACCCTTCTTTCTGCTTCCTCCTCCAACTCTATTCTCACCCACCCACCCACCCCCAACATACACTTGTCTTGTCCCCTCCTTTATCCCACCCTACTATGTGATGAGGAAGATTTGAGTCTTGAGATTTTACTTTCTCTCTGAGCCCAGGCAGGGCTTCAGAGTGAACTAAATTCTCACTGGACTGAAGGAATTTGGATAGCAGCAGCTCCTGGCTTTCTGTCCCTTGGCCCCTCAGAGCTCAGCTCTACTCATTAACTCAGGAAAATCCTTCATTGGCCTTTACCAGAATTGAGTCAGTGACTGAGGGGTGGGGAGGAGGAGGGGTCAGTTGATCTTCTGGGCACCATTTCCTCTGCCCAGGGACAGGAGGTAATAAAATGATCTTCTCCCCTGGGCCAGGGTTTGGTGGGTCAGGAGGCTGCCATGTCACAGACAATTAAGGCTATGTTAAGATTAAAATGGGCAGAGCAGATGATGGGGAGAGGGGGGCGCGCAGCACTATGAACCAGAACATTGGCTTGGAAAGACAGGCAGGAAAAGGGAGATCAAAGAAAACACCTCATCCACTGTCACCACACCAGACACACCTTCAACCTCTGCTACCCACAGGTACCACCTGTTAGCAAAGTTACCCCAATAAAGGATGAGTCCTAAGCTGAGAGGCAAATCAATCCTAGATTTTCTCCCCTCCCTAAGAGAAATACACTAAGGCAACTCAAGGGGAGAAGATGCAAAACCCCAGAGAGACCAAAAAACCTACTGCTCCACAGAACAGTATCCCACATAGTGGAGGGGGAGGCTGTCCATTCTCTCCCTCTCAGCCCCATCCCGAGGAAATAGAAAGACATTGCAGAGCTGAGATTAGCAGCTGGAGCGATGCATCCTAGATTTGTGTCCATCCTTATTCTTGATTTCTCCTCCACATCTGTGGGAGCTCCCCCACCAACCCCGAGGCCAGAGGCCACTGACCCGTGGTCCCCAGGGGCTTCGGCCAGTCCCTCACCTGGTAAACAAGATCATCCCGTGCTGGAGGGGATTGCTGTTCACTTTCTGCCAGCTCTCTCGGATCAGCTCCTGCTCTGGGCCCGATAGTCTCCGGGTCTCCATGGTCTGGTATCTGAAAGCTGCGAGTAGGAGCGACCAAAAGCCCAAATGCCCCTCCCTGGGAAAACCCCTTTCCTCAGGGCGTGGAAAAGGACGAAGCCAATTCCTTGGCAGTCTCTGGGCGCGGGGAGCGATCTCCAAGCGCTCTGAGAGCTGCTTGGATCCTCCCCGCCCCAGGTGACCGCCAGTCGCCTCTGCCCCGAAAGCCTGGACACTTCCACAGCACGTGCAATCCCACCCACCGCCAGAGCCTGCAAGATCCTGCCTCCTGGCTTCACTTGGTTTGGTTTAAATAGCCCAGCTTCCCGAGCCTGAGCTCCTGGAGGCCAAGAGAGAGTGAGAGAGGCGCTCCATCCCGCGCCTTGCCGGATGCGCTCGGGGATGAGGGGCAGCCTCCCCACTTCTAACAACTGCTCCCTGTTATTGGCTGAAGATGACTTCCTGTCTCCCTCTGGTGCTCTGACCCCAGCAGCTCCCAGGTTCTGCTGACCCCCTGGTCCTGCCTGCCTCGATGCCCACCGCCCACATCAGGCACTGCAGGGGACACCTGCGGCTGCTCTCCCTTTACTTTCCCTGGAGGCAGCCTCTGCAGCTGAACAGCTTCCAGTAGCATCCCCCCCCCACCTCAATTTGGTGCTCTTAAAGCCACAGTGTTCCCCTTTTCATTTCCATCAGGGTTCTTAAAGTGACAGTTTTCAAAGTCTCCTAATTCCCCCTACACTTTCCTCCCCACATCCCTTGGCCTAGCTGGATAGGATTCTGCATTCTAAGCATAATATATATATATATATATATATATATATATATATATATATAT